ATTGGGGAAATTATTCTACTATTGTTATGCCCAGTCCGTGAGGACCCCAAAAGCTCACAAGGGAGACCAACTCACTGAAATGCAAAAATAAGATTTATTGTGTGTGTGTGTGTGTGTGTGTGTGTGTGTGTGTTACAAGCCAGGAGGGACCTCGTTGGTGCAGTAGTGAGAGGAGCTACCCCACCCTTCTAGAGGGCACTATTTAAAGGCAAAACAAAACAAAACAAAACAAAACAAAAAAACAGAAAAGGTACTTTAGTAGGATGTGGGGTGATGGGTTCAATCCTGATTGGCTGACATTTGTCTAAGGGTGTCCTGGTGAAAAGCCATGGGTGTGTGCTGACAGGTGATCCTATCTAAAATGGGTGAAATGTTAGGAATTTTCTTTGGATGGTCTGTTCTTGGGTAGTGCCTGGGATCCATAGACAGACCCATAGACAGACCCATGGGAGTGTATGTACACTAAATACGGAAAACCTGACTTGCAGTGTAATCTACTGGCCTTTTGCTCTAAACTAACAAGCTACTAATATTCTGTATTTACGCTTCTCCCTGATTTCAATTAACATAAGATCATAGCCCAGGAGATTAACTGTTTATACCTTTACCTCTAAGGATATAGAAAAAAGGCATGGGTAGCTAAACTAGTCCTAAAGAAATGCCTTCTCACCTGGGTGCCAGGAGGCACCCTGTTGGAATTACAAGGAAATTTAGGTATTTGATGAACATACAAATCAAACACCTTCACCCATGGGTTGCTTTGGTTACCAAAGCTGTATCCCCAGTTGCCGGGGAAGAAAGCAGAAGCAGGCACTGCTGTGTTTTTCTACAATTATTAATCATAAACTTCTAGCTTAATTAGTTACACTTAAGAAATGTAGTTAGCGCATGAAAACATCTTCCTAGAATTTTGTAGTGATTTAAAGTCCCATTCTTAATTAATCCTCCTGGCATTTCCAGGGGAGCTTCACAGCCACGCCTCCCCCTCTGAGAGGCCTCCTTTACCTGCTTTTGTGATTCTGTGAAATGCGTGCTTGCTACTATTCTTACTGCCTATGGAATTGCTAACTTGTCTGTATGTGTATAAAAACTGAAAACCTTGTGGGGAAGAAGCCTTTTACTTCCTTGTCCAAGAAATAAAAAAAATAAGCAGAGGAAACATGCTTGAGTCAATTTGTCCTGCCCCTCATATCCCCCTTCTCAGTCAGTTTTTGCTTGCTATAGATGTCCTGTTCTGAATCCTAAGGGAATGCTGAGACTGGTACTCAGTAACCCTTGTTACTGTTACTTAGTCTAAGCAAGGGGAAATGCAGGCAATTATGCTTTCATAGTCATATTTCTGATATTGGAGTGGCTTATGATGCTAGACTTTAAGTTAACCTGTAAGTTTCACCTGCCCAAGGACCAGGTAACTTCCTGAAATTCTGGGAGTTGTAGCTCTTGGAAAATAACAACAACCCTCATGGGAAAGTATGGTGGCCTATGGGTTTTATACTTACAAGTCAAACAACACTTGCCTTGGGGCCACTTACCTGGAAAGTTTCTGACCAAATTCCCTCTTGGTTGGTGTATGGTCAAAACAACACCTCTATATCCAAAGAGTCTGGGATGATTGGAACCGTCACCCCAGTCCCTGGCATTCATTCTGGGATATTTGGTCATGAATATAACCTCAGTTCCTTGTCACACCCCATATTCAAAGAGTCTGGAATGTAATATTAAGCTGGGGGCATCACCCCAGCCCTCTAACACCCGTATATCCAAGAAGTCTGGGATGATTGGAAGCCCCTGGCCTGGAAGTTGCCCTGGCTTGGACTCCAACTCCCAGCCTGCCAAGTGCTGACCCCTCCCCAGGAAGGGTCAGGACCACATGTGGTTTGGGTTTGAGTGTGCGCTCTCTTTGTCTTTCCCCTGCCATGTCCCCGGCCACCCGGGATAGCTGTCTATTAAACACGGGCATTTGATGTGTTTTAATCTGGTCTGATTGGATTTCCTAACAGTTGGTATTTAATATTTTAATAAAAACTTGCTTTAATTTGGACAAAATGGTAGAACTGGTTTTTCCTCTGGTGAATTTCAGGATTAACATATGGAGGCCCCAGCGAGATAATTCCACCCCAAACTCTGAGGTGGGTTTTCCACTCCAGCTCCAGGGACCCTCTGCAGTGAACAGCTATATTTGAAAAACGAAGCAGCGAGCATTTTTAGGGAGGCCTCCCTTTTCTTGGCAAGCCACAGAAACTCTTTTTAGTTCTATAGCACTTTTCTGTTTGGTTTCTGAATTCTGGTTTTGGGGTACCCTACTGGAAACAAAGGAGGTCTGAATAGACTACAAAATCTTTCACCAGGGCGCAGGGAGATGTCCCATGACTCTGATTATTTCTGATTTTCTTTCTGGCTAACTAGGAGTTCAACCAGAGCCACCGGTTGTTTTCTGACTTGCTTTGAATCTCTGGTTTCACGCCGTAGAAACATGGGGGACTGAGTCAAACTCAGAGTGGACCAGCACCTTGGCTCTGTCAGAGCAGTTCCAATGTCTAGGATTCAAAAGGAAGCAAGGATACTCTAGAACATTTGGGGATCTTCACTCTAAGAATAAAAATGGCACTTTATTTTGATATTACTAGAACACATGTTTTAAGAGACTTTAAATGTCTTGAAAAGAAAATTTTAGAGTTTTACAAAAAATTTTAAAGCTGGATTTATTATTATTATTATTTTGTTTTTTTAAGACAGGGTTTCTCTATAGCTCTGCAGCTTTGGAGCCTATCCTGGAACTAGCTCTTGTAGACTAGGCTGGCCTCAAACTCACAGAGATCTGCCTGCCTCTGCCTCACCAGTGCTGGAATTAAAGGCCTATGCCACCACTACCTAGAAAAACTGGATATTTTTAAGGAACAGCTTTTTTAAATGTTTAAGTTTATTAATCTATGGTACATTTTAAATTTATAAAATATTTTATTACAATGTCTTTTTTAATATATGATCTTGATAAATGGATAAATAAAAGGTTAAACATTAGTGCCATAGCTAAACACCAGAGATTGAGGTATTATTATCTTATGCTGCAATAAAATGGTGACCCTAAGCAGTTTGACAAAAGAACTTGGAACCACTGGCTTAGAGAATATCTTTCCTTACGTATTTTAAGGGGCTGGAGAGATGGCCCAGTGGTAAGGAATACTTGTTTGCTCTTACAGAGGAGCCAGTTTCAATTAAGAGGATTCAGCGCCCCAATGGTGGCTCACAATGCTCTGTATCTCCAGTTTCAGGGGATCCAAAGCCTACTTCTTGTCTCCTCAGGTATGCACATGGTACACATACATGCAGGCAAAGACACATTGATGTTTGCTCTTGCTCTATCAATAAGCAATCAGCAACAAATGTAGGCATACAATAATTCTTTCACTTAATCAAAAATCAAAAATCACTATCTTTTATGCGGCAAGAGGCTCACTATGTCCATAGCCCAGACTCGCCTTAAATTTAAGATATCATTGCCTCAGCTCCATCCAGGGTTACAAAAGTGTACCATCATGCTTGATCACACTATTTCCTTATTGCCATATAATTTCAGTTTTCCACCATAGAGTTTATTTCTATTCAGCATAAAAAGACATCTATGAAATGCAAATATCAGTAGAAGGAGAAAACCAACTTCTGCAAGATGTTCTCTGACCTCCAGACACACATAAATGTCAATTTTTTAATTAAAAATATTTGGCCAGGCAATGGTGACACATGTCTTTAATCCCAGCACTTGGGAGTCAGAGGCAGGCAGATCTTTTTGAGTTCAAGGCCAGCCAAAGTGAGTTCCAAGACAGCCAGGGCTACACAGAGAAACCTTGTCTCAAAAAAAAAAAAAAAAAAGATTTTGGCCACTAGCACACATTTAAAGGTGGCTTATATGTATCTAAAGGCTTATAAAAACACAGAAAGTTTATAAGGCAACTCACAATCACTTTATTAAGTATATAATAAATTCACACTTTATACACATGAATACTGAGCTCAGAAAGGCTCATCGGAGTGTTCTAAACTCATCCATGTCTTGTGCTTTGATCAGTGGAACAATACTATGGAAATAATTAGCATGGCTTGAGGTTAGGCCATCCCAGGACATAATCCTCTTGTCCTACAGGCAACCACAAAAACTACCAGCTGAGGCCACAGCAATGGTTAGAGAGGGTTTTACATATATATTTTAAGATCTGTGTGCATCTTCTATTTTTGTGTGATGTTGTTGGGTCTTTGCCTGGTTTTGGTATTGGGGTAATAGTGGCTTTGAAAAAACAATCTGGAAATGTTCCTTCAGTTTCTATTTTTGCAGACTTATTTGAAGAGCATTAGCATCAATTCTTCTTTGACGGTCTGGTTGAATTTATGTTGAACCCATTTAGTCCAGGGTTTTTGGATTGGGAGATTTTTAATTATTGATTTTATTTCACTAGGGAATATAGATCTGTTTAAATTGTTTATCTGATCTTGATTTAAACTTTGGAAGATTGTATGTATCAAGAAATTCATCCTTTTCAGCTTTCTCAATTTAGTGGAATACAGATTTATTAATTATAGGCTTATTATTTCTCTGAATTTCCTCTGTGCCTGTTGGAATCTCCCACTTTGGGTCTTCTTGCAGTCATTTATTTAATTTGGTAAAGGATTTGTTGTTGACTTTCTCAAAGAAACAGAATCAACTCCTCATTGACTTTTTGGGGGTTTTGTTGTTTTTGTTTGCTTCTATTTCATTAATTTCAGTCCTGAATTTATTTCTTGCCTTTTCTTCTTTGGGGGTATTATTATTTCTTTTTGTTCTAGAGCTTCCAGACATGTCACTAAGTTATAATATGGTGTAGGCACTTAGTGCTATGAACTTGACTCTTAGAACTACTTTATTGTATCTCATAGCTTTGGGCATGTTGTGTTTTCATTTTCATTCAATTCTAAAAGGTTGTTAATTTCCTTCTTGATTTAAATCCTAACTCAGTTTTCCTTCGGTAGTGAGTTATTCAGTTTCCACACATCCGTGTAATTTTTTCTGCTGTTTTTGTTGTTGTGTGATATTCAGCTTTAATCCATGATGTTCAGAAAGAATGCAAAGCATTATTTGATTTTCATTTACCTGTTGAGACTTGCATTGTGTCCCAGTACGTGATCAGTTTTGAAGGAAGTTCCATGAGCTGCTGAGAAGTATATTCTTTAGTGTTTGAGCGGAATGTTCTGTAGACATCTGTGAGGTCCTTCTGATTTATGGTATTATTTAGCTCCAACATTTCTATTTAGTTTTTGTCTGGATGACTTGTTTAGTAGTGGGGGGAGGGTACTGAAGTCACCTACTATCACTTGTGAGGGTCAACATGTGATTTTAGCTGTAATAATGTTTCTTTCATGAACTTGGGTCTCCTTGTGTTTCACACATAAATGTTTAGAATTGCAATATCCTCCTGTTGGATTTTTCTTTGATGATTATGTAGTATCCTTCCCTATCTCTTCTGATTAGTTTTGGTTTGGTCTATTTTGTCAGATATTAAAATGGTTACACCTACTTGGTTTTTTGGGGTTCATTTGCTTGGAATACCTTTCCATCCTTTTACTCTAAGGTATGTCTATCATTGATAGTGAGATGTGTTTCCTGCATACAACAGAAGGATAGATTCTGTTTTCTAATTCAGTCTCCTAATCTTTGTCTCTGTATCGAGGAATTGAGATAATTAATATAGAGAGTTATTCATGAGTAGTGTTTATTGATTCCTATTATTTTGTTGTTATAGTGTGCCCCCTCCCCATTTTTTACTTACTGTTTTGGGATTATTTATTCCTTTTGTCTTCTTGGTGTATATAGTTAACCTCTTCAGACTGAAGTTTTTCATCTAGTGACTTCTGTAGAGCTGGATTGGTAGATTATTTCAATTTGGCTTTCTCTTGGGATGTTTTCTATCTTCATTTTTTTGTAATTGATAGTTTTTTGGGGGGGTATAATACTCTGGAATGGCATCCATGATCTCTCAGAGTTTGTAGAAGTCTTTCTAGGTTTCAGAGTCTCCATTGAAAAGTCAGCTATTATTCTAATGGTCCTATCTTTATATGTTACTTGGAGATTTTTCTTCTACATCTTTTAATACCCTTTCTTTCTTGTGTAAATTTAGTATGTTGATTATTATATGTTGTGGGTAATTTATTTTCTGGTCCTGTCTATTTGGTGTTTTGTATTTTTCTTGTATCCTGATCAGCACCTCCTTCATTAGACTGGGAAAATTTTCTTCCATGTTTTGTTAGCAAATATTTTCTATGCCTTTGACCTGGGTTTCTTCTCCTTCCTCTAAACCTATTATTCATAGACTTTGTCATTTCATAGAGTTCCAGATTTTCTGGATATTTTGTGCCTGGGTTTTAGGTCACATTTTCTTTGACTGAGCTATTTATTTCTTCTACTTGTTTGCAAGACCTGATATTCTCTCTTCCACATCTTTTAATCTATTGGTGAGATTTACCTCTGACATTTTTGTTTGACATCCAGAACTTTTCATTTTCAGTTTTATTTCAAATTGCATTTTCTTTGGTGATTCTATTTCTATTTTCATGTCTTAAAGTGTTTTATCATTTCACTCAACTGTTCACTTGTGCTTTCATGGTCTTCATTACGGTATTCATATCCCCTTTAAGGTCCTTGAATATATTCATAATTGCTATTTTGAAGTCAATGTCTGATGATTCAACTAAATTGTATTTCTCATGGCCTATTACAATATGGCTACTGACTTCTAGTGGAGAAATACTGTCTTGACTATTCATATTTAGGTTTTTGTGATATAATCTAGTATCTAGAGTTATGTTTGTCCTTTCTAGTCCAGGGAAAACCTTATATAAAGCTGCAAACCCACCAGCTCCAGCAGAAGCACTGGTGTGACAGCGCTGAAGTAACCTTTAAGGGGATAAGCACAGAGGTTTCTCAGTGATTTGTAGTCTTCTTAGGAGCTTCACTGCTCTCGCATCTCTGCCCTGAGACACTCACATGTTTAATCAGTTAAGGTTTAGTTCAGGGGTAAAAACCACACAGGTTCTTGGTGCCAGAACAGTGCTGTCAGGCTCATCTTCCATGTCACTGCCAAGCCCTCTCACTGCTGCCCCTGTTTATATCAGAAGATGCACGGATGAGCTGGGTTCACCACTTTCAAGGAGACGTAGTTTCTAAGTCCCAACAAACTTTGATTGGGAACAGTTTCCAGTTAGTACCCTCACAATTCCATAGCATTTCATTGTAAGAAGAAAGTGAGCTAACTTATGTAAAAGACCAACAAAGCCCCTGGGTATTCTTGTAAAGGGAACGGTTTCACTGTAACCAAAACCGAGACAAACCTGCTGAAGATTAAAAGTTACATGCCAGCTTGAAATCCGGCAGCTCAATTTCCCCCTGTAGCACTTGGGTGACGGGCTGTTTAGTGTCACAGGAGCAAAGGAAAGGTGTCAACATCACACACTTTGTGCTTTTAGCTGCTTGCACGAGGTTCAGCGACACTCTGCCGATGATACGCCATTATCTCCCTGTCCGGCTTCTCAGAGATAAAAACGGTGAGCTTTACCTCGACCTGCCCAGCTCCAGACAGCACACGCAGCAGCTTTTAACTGAGAAGGCTCACGGACTCGGAACAATTTTAGACTCCCCCAAGGAAGCCAGCATGTCATCACTCTTAAAGAACATGGAATTATACTAAAAAGAATGATTTTATCCTACAAAAATATAAAATGAAAAAAACCTGAATAGTTAATATACAGACTTGGCCTTGGCTAAGTAACAGTGTCAGTGTAGGTTACTGCATTTAAGGGCACAGCCTACGGTTCTAGTGAAGGACATGAAAGCCGTGCACAGAGAGAACAGCCCTTCAGCCTTGTGTGACACCAGTACATAAAACACAAGGGCTACCCAGGTTACCACATTCAGAAATTTACTTGCTCAGCAGAAGTTAGCTTAGGAGACAGTTAAGTACCAAACCTCAATCTCTTTGGGGATTCTCAGAACTTCCCATTGGATCTGTGATTCTCAGCTGCGCTGCACACTCAGGACAATCAAATCTGGAGGGGAAGTCCAGAAGCATCAGTCTTTGTTTCCAGGATGCCTCGAATGTGCAGCAGGCTGCAGGCCACACAGCAGCTCTTCCAGAGGCCGCTGCATGAAAGCACGCGGACAGTTCTGCTGCTTCTAAGTTCCAGGAGCAAAGGGTCTTTTTAGAAAAGGACACAGTTGTGCTTCCTCTAAAGACACAGGCTGCTGTTTGGCATGCTGGCTGCCAGAGGTTATCTGGAGCGCTGGTTGTAAAGAAGAAAGTCTTTGTCTTGGCAGAGCAGGCAGAGTTTCAGGCTTCGGCAGCTACCTCCAGCAACAAAAAATGCCCAGATGCCCATGAGCACCATGATTATGTATGCTGATGCCAGATTGACTCCATAATGAGGACTTAGGAAGGTCTGCAAAGGAAAAATAAATCAGCCTGGGTAAAAGCACAAGCCTTTAAAACTTATGGAATAAACAGAGATACTGGAAAACACACAACCTTTCAACAGCTGGATAGCATCTCATAAATATGGGATGACTGTCATGTGTTAAAGACTCAGAAAGGCACAGCAGACACTGGTCTATGAACTTGCACTTTGCTTTACTCAAATGGCAAGCAGCTGACTGGAACTGGTCATACAGAAGTGAGCAGTTTTGATGGAGAACACACATAGGAAAAAAAGGACAAGGTTTGGCACTTCCTTTTGATTTCAGAACCAGTGAAGAGGCATGTCTCTTGCTGTGTCTATTGTCAAAAAGCTGTGTCAACTGGTTTGCTTCTTAGCTTCTCTTATCCAGGGTTTTTTTTTGGGGGGGGGGTTGGTGGTGTTTTTTTGTTTGTTTGTTTGTTTGTTTGTTTTGTTTTGTGTTTTGGTGGGTGGAGGGGTGAAAGTGAAAACCTGCTCGCTCAGAGAGGCTGAGTAACAACTAGTTGACCTTCTCTCTTTATAGGTGTCTTTGAAAGACAAAGTACATCTGCTACAACAAAATAAAAAAGCCCACGTCACACAGAGTCCCTCCCTGCTCCTTTCTGTGCATTCTCTCTATCGTCTTACAGACGCCCTCTGACTCTCTGTGCTTACTTTCTGTCAACTAGTTGCTAACTCTGCTTCCTGTGCCAAAGTTGATTTAACTTAATTATCCCACATGCAAACTCGGGATTCATAGTGTGATCGAATAGCCCACAACACACTGACTCACACAGATACACATAAGTTAAAATAAAATAATCTTAAAGGCTGCCAAGATGAACAAAGAACAATATCATTAGATTTGGAAAAGTGAGGGTTTGGAAGGGTGATTTGAGCAAAAGCCAGATTGGACTAGAAGTCTGAGGGATAAAGCAGAAGAGACAGGACCAGTGAGATGGCTCAGTGGGTAAAGGTTCTTGTTGTCAAACAGGATGATATCAATTTGACTCTCTGGAACCACGTGGTGGAAGGACAGACCATGTTGTCCTCTGACTTCCACACCATGCACATGCACATGCACCTGCACATGTACGTATACACACACACACACACACACTCTAATAAATACATGCATACAAATAACAATTTAAAAATTAGAGACAGAATTTGTGGAGACTATACTTTGAGATGTGTGGTGTTATCATGAAAGGGAAAAATGTTGTAGGGGGGAAGTCGTAACAAGTTTTGTGTAAGATGTGTCTCAGTGTACAAAAAGGAACAGACTGGTCCTAAACGATGGTGGCACAACCAAAGGGAAGTACTAGAGGCAGGATAGATTAGGGTCACAGCCTGAACAGAGTGGCTTTAACCTGGGAGCCGGAGCTAAGTTTAGAGCCTAAGCTCCCATCTAACCCAACTTTATCCTAACAAAGGAGAAGATCTGACTGTGGCAGTTATTTGCCAGATGATTTTAAAATAAGTGTTTTGGGATTCAGTAAGTAACCCCTCTCATGACCACTCAAACTGTACATGCTAAGGCACTGAACTTGACCTATCAACCCGGCCAGGGAAGTGGGTTCATTTTGCAGGTAGCACCTCATACAGGAAGAATGCTGCATGCTAGAGGCACCTGTGGGCATCGCAGGTGTTGAGAAGTTTATGAATTTCTTTCTAAAATAATTCTACAGTCAATTCCATAAAATTTTCATTTATATTCAAGAATGATAAAGTCTTCTGCATTTCCTTCAGTTTATTTCCTTTAGAACCAGTTTTCTTTTTTAAGCAATCACAAAATTTTTTAAAAATCTTATTATAAAATACATGTAAAAGTTACATAAAATCTTACAATTTTATATAACTTTATATAAAATTATATATAATTTATAGAAATTTATTCTAGAAAATGAGAACATACAAATTGGAAAACTAATTTTTAAGACTTAAAGCTTAGATTATTTAGTCATCAGAACATAAGAAGAAATAATAAACCCCAATTAATTAGATAATATAAAATGGGAATTTGGAACTGGGGATGTAACTCATGGGAGACTTGCCTATGTGCATGTGGGAGCCCCGAACTATAAACAAATCACCTCCAAAAACAATGTAAAAACTGGATGTGGCAACTGAGACAGGAGGATTGCCATAAATGAGGCTGTCGAGAGCTCCAGAGTGAACTCTAAGCCAGTTTGGGCTATAGAATGAGACTATCTAAAGAACAAAACAAATAAAGATAAATATGCTGCAGAAGCTATTTGTAATACATACACCCAACTAAAGATTCTTTTATAGAAAATAAAAAAAAATCTAAAAATTTAAAGACAGTTGGAGGTAGGTAAAATATTTGAACAACAGCTTCAAAAAGAATTCTCCAACTGACAACAGACATATGAAGATGTGTTTATTATCAAGGGAATAAAAGTTCAAAGTTTACTTTGTGTCTACTACATTCCTGGAAAGATAAGAAAGTTATTACAAGTGTTGGCAAGGGCATAGAGGAGTTGAAGCTCATGAATAAATGGTTAGTCAACACAACCATGCTGAAAACTGAGTGATACCACCAGCTGACTTAGTGATTCCTCTAGTCCACCTAGAGTGCTTCTGGGCATGTATCCAACAGAAATGTGCACATGTCTTTGCTGAAGGATATATATGTAAACACTTATAGTCTTACTCTTCACAACAGTTAAACACTAGAGCACTAAAGATATGACTCAGTGGGTTAAGTGCTTTGGGTGCAGCAGATGTGCTACAGGCCTTTAATCCAAGCATTAGGGAGACAGAAGTACATGGATCTCCATGAGTTTGAGGCCAGCCAAGGCTACACAGTGAAAGCATGTCTTTAAAAAAATGACAGGTAGATCCCATGTCTCCCCTCAGTGTGCTTGGCTCCCACGACACTCAGCTCTTCAGGTGCCCTAATTTCCTACTTTCAGTTACTCTTTGTGTTTCTTTCCTGACTCCTCCTTTTTAGTCTGATCTCAAGGATGGAGTGTCATGGGCCTCTATGAGCATCTTCTCTGTTTACCCACAATTTTTGAGCTGCCTTCTCTCAACCAAACTCCTCCCCAAAGCTACCCCTTTCCATCAAACTTTTACCTGACCTCTACCCTGGATGTTTAACAGAGCACCTTCTAAGTAACGGACCCAAATAGAACCACGCCTATCAAGCCCTCAAACTCAGCTAATGGCACTACACTATCCTTTCAGTTGTCCAGGCCAAAAACATTAACGAAATCCTCGGCTCCTCTTCTTCCTCTCATCTGCCTCATCCACTCTGTGGAAACATTGATGGTTCTACGTCTGATATGTATTTCCTTTATCTGGCTATTTCTAATTCTTCACTGCTCTTTCTCCAAATCTTCCATGCCTTTCCCTTAATGAGTTGACCTCTCCCAGCTAGTTTACTCTTAGTGTAGTAGTCAAAGAAATTCTTTCCATATGTATGTCAATTATCCTTCATCTTCCCCTCCACTTTGTATTTTAAGACAGAATCTCACTCTGTAGTCCAAGCCCAACTAGGTAGACAAATACATACTTGCTTTTACCCAGATGCCATCATGATAAAGGCAACTTTAACAGCCACAAGTACCGCAAGGTTTAACCATGTAAGTAAGAAGCAAACAGACTGCATTTTAGCTGGATTAGAAGGCAAGAAACCCAGTGGATAAAATATGATAGGAATTCTCAATAGGAAGGAAACAGGAGCAAGGTTCCATCAGTAGAGACTTTTTTCTTTTTAACTTTCTATTTATTCTTTGTGTCTTTCACATCATGCATCTCCATCCCATTCATTTTCCCATCCTTTTGTATCTGCCTTCTAGCCTTGCAAACCCTCCCCCCAAAATAGAATACAATTTAAGAGAAAAAACGGAAAAAGAAAAGTAAAAGTCTCTCCATGGAAATTGTAGTGTGATACAGTGTCTCACGCAGGAAGCCCTTTGTCCATATATATTTACTTGCAAGTGTTCATTGCCAAGAGTCACTGGTCTGGTTCAAGGTCTGGTTTCTGCTATACTATCTATGCTGCAACCTCACTGGGACTCCTCTTGGATATCCTGTTGCTGCCCTGTTGTGGAGATCCTGCAGCTTTGGTCTGCAGGATCGACCCCTTCAGGTTCTCCTGAAGATCATAAATGGGGTAGATGTTAGTGTGGTCCAACTCATAACCCTGGTTCTGAGCCTGGGTAGCTCGCCATCTCCCAATCCCCATGTCCTCACTATCAGGGTAAGCTCGCTAGCGTGCCCTGGCTAGTTCACCCCTTCCAGCAATGAACAAGGGACAAGGCCAGTTCTGCTTTCAGATCCTCAGGGCCAGCTCTCCCACGCCTGGACCATCAGGGCCAGATCTACTTTGCTGCCCAGGTGAGGTGCAGGGGTCACTCTCCTGAGTGCTGCAGCTGGCGAGGAGCAGGGACAGCGCTCCTGCTCTTATGACCTCAGGGCCAGATCGCCCACATGCTTCAGGCATTGAGGGGTTGTGGGGAAAGGGTATCTCTTCCCTGCCCGTGCCACCATACGACAGATGAATGTTGGGGCCAAATCTCTCATGCTCAGATTCTCAGGCTGGCTCACTGGTGCCCCCATTAATATTGTCAGCTCCGCTGTGCTGCCTAGACAAGGTACAGGGCCTGCTTTCCTGAGTGTTGCAGCTGGTAAAGGGGAGGGTCAGTCCTTATCAGCTAGAGGCAGTAGGGAGAAGGGGGCAGGACATCTTTCCCTCATTCCCACCACCATGGAGCCACAAACAAGAGAAGTGGTACCAGCTACGCCCCTCTCACATGCTCAGGTCTGGCTCACCCATGCCCCTGTCTACAGAATCAACTCAGTAGAGACCTTTTTAAAAAAAATCATTTATTATGATTTGTGTACGTATGTAATGCACATGCCAAGGTGCAGTTGTAGAGATCAGAGGATAATTTTTGGAAGCTAGTTTAGTTCTTCTGTCCTATAGCTCTGTAGCTCAAACTCAAGTCATCAAACTTGCCTAGCTTTACCTGTTCCCCATCTCCATGGCCTAGGAGAAACTTTTCAGTATTTCATATAAAATACACAAAGGGTCTAGACAGGGGCACGGCAGGGTCATTTGGATAACGCCATGTATATAAATGACCAATGACCATGCAGATCCAAGTCCTTACACACTGCTTGCTGTGAAACGAAATTTGACAACGGTTTTAAGCTTTACTTTGCAGACTGGTGCTGTTATAATGACAGTAAGAGACTGAAACCAACACATCTGCTGCTGGTCAGAATGTGTGAAGTGTCATCACCTTACGGAGCCCATTGTAGCAATTTGTATCAAGGACTCAAAATATTCACACCAATTGACTTCACAGTTCCCTGCCTCAAAACCTAAACAAATGGGGAAAGTTCCATGCACATAAATAGTCAAGAAAGCTTCACAAGAGACAAAAAAACAACAAATAGGAAATGATGAACCAAATTAATCAAATTAAAATAATTCCCACCAAAAGATTTAAACGTAAAATGTGTGTCTTAAGGAGATTATAATGAAGAAAAATTGCTTCAGATATGCTTCGTCACATGAGTGTGATGCAGACTATCTTAGGCTTGACCGCACATCCACTAAAGGACAGATATGAGGAAATCTCTAGTGAGACAACCCCCCTCCCCAAATTAACAGAGACTGTCATTCTCCTAAAACTCACATGATCCACTGTCCACCTCCAGGGCTGTTCTGACTTGCCCTCATTTGGGTGGGATCCACCGCTCAGACCCACCTGAGCTCTGCAAGCACTGAGAACACAGAGACAACACTCACCTGGGTGGACACCAGCAGGTGAGTCAGGAGAACTGTAAGGAGTATGTACCACTTTTTCTTCTCACAGCCATCAAAAAACACAATGCCCCAGAACACATGCAGCAATATGATAACGAGCGTCATGAAAGCTGAAAAGACAAGTCAGCAGTTAGCAGCCAGTCCTGCAGACAACAGACACTGAAGCCGGCTGAACCCCATCACTGTGCACCGGCTCTGAGGGTCCCCTGGCTGCAGTGATGGAGTCTGACCACAAGTGCACAGAACTGGCTTAATAAGAACTCCACGCTAACTTTGGAGAAGTTATATCTTCTCCATATCTTTGTAGAAGTTATTCTTGGGAATATGAACCTGTTGAACAAAAAGTCAACTTGGGTTTGGCGTTCAAGGAGTTTCCCTGAGGTATGCAATGATATTTGTATTAAGTCTATGTAAGTATTTGTTTAAAACATATTTATTTTTATATGTATAGACAATTTGCTTGCATATATGTCTGTGTGACACATGTATGCCTAATGTCTGAACAGGTCTGAAGAAGGTATCAGATCTCCTGGGACTGACATTATAGATAGTTATAAACTGCCTGCAGCTGCTAGAAATTGAACCCAGGTCTTCTGGAATAACTGCCAGTGCTTTTAACCCCTGAGACACATCTCTAGATTTAACATATCTCATTTTCAAAAACCCTCAGCCCTATTTGTAGAGAATTTTCTCAATTGAACAGAGCTTCTTCTGTCTAAACAAGTCTCTGCACTGAAGGGGACATTTTCTTTAGAACCTTTTAAAAATGGTGTGATGAAAATAAACAAGAATGTAACTAAAAGATCACTGTAATTATCTAAGGTTCTTCTTCTACAAGTGGCAGTGATCAGCAACCTCAGGTCTCTAGAGAATACTGCCTGCATAGGTGTACTCTGTCCTGGATAACATTTCTTCTTTAAAGCAGACAAGTACCATATATTCTGCATACTTTAACATGAAAAAGGCATATAGATTTCCCTTTCCTGCCACGTAATAAAGAGACCATGAGCTCTAACTACCAGACAGGAAAACCCCAGGCTATAGTCCTACACTGCTTTAATTAAAAATAATCTGGTATTGCCAAGCAAAGGAGACTAGCTACAACTATTCCAGTCCAGAAAGGCATTTGAGCTACACTATATACCATAGACTATATACACTATATATTCTATCTGTACTACAAACCAGTTAAGTCTCAAATCAACAAATCACTATCCCAGGGACTTATCAGTGCAAATTACTTGTATCCATCCCACCATGGATCAGAAGCAAAGGGGCAGGAGCCTAGCAAAGCCAGTTTAAACAGCCTTCCTACAGATTCAATGCCTGGTCAAGTTTAAGAATCCTGCCAAGGAGGCATTCTTATAAATGTGCATAAGGAGATACAAGAATATTTACCCCAGCGCTGCTGTAAAAACAAAGAATGCCCGCCCTTGGGTTTAACAAGAAAACTACAGTGTACTATTCTATATGACCCACAACACGTATCATCTCAAGAACACAATGCTGAGAGAGAACAAACACACTGTGAAAATGCATATTATTCATGTGAAGTAAGAGATCCACAAGATAATATTAAAAGGACATAACTGGTGTGGCTAGGAGAATAAGCTGTCACATCTCGGTGACAGTGTCTTTGTGTCAGGCTCTGAAAGACGACATAAAAGGATTCAACTCAGGTCCAGCCATTATTCTGAAGAGAACAGTTCCTACAGACAGAGTCTTATCAATGGTGTGACATTGAGACCACTTAAGATGACCAGGGGCTAAGCAAGAGTTTTCAAATTTCTCTGAGTCAAAAAAAGATCAAGGAAAAAACTGACACAGTGGCAACTTTTCTCTTAATCATAAAGTGTTCATACTCTAAGGAGGGGTTTTCTAGGACCTGGATATTAATCAAATGTCCAGAGGAGTCCCTATCACAGGCATTTGCCATCTGCCTGGCAGCCTCTGCTTGCCCTTCTCTTATGCATTGCCATGGGTACTGAGATCAGCTAGGTGTGCTCCCAGGGTTAGCTCCTAGAGACCCGCTACTTGGGAAATGCTCTTACTGATGCCATTTTCCAGCTTGTTCTTAACCAGTGTTATTCTACAAGCTTCAGGCAAGTATCCTCTGGACCTTACTAGTCCTGATCGTGCTTCCAGATTCCAGGTCTGAATGTCTTGATCCTTCCAGCTAACAAGTCTGGTGGTAAAATCACATCTCAGACTAGCATTCGAGTTCCTGTACAGTCTAGACCCAAAGGACTTTAACAGCAGATTCTCTATGACTCCTCAACTGCTTCCTTGTGTCAGAAACACAGAACTCAAGCCGCCTGGTGGTGCAGTACTTGGGAGGTAGAGACACAGTGACAGGTGGCTCAGAAAATTCAAGATCATTCTTGATTTGCTTAGAAGACATTAAGTCATAAAAAGTAGAATTTAACTAAGGGAGTGCTGTTTCCATAATACATAATAAAAGGTAAGTAGCTTGCTAACCAAGTCTTTTAATGATAAACTAAATTTAGGATATAAATAAGTGTTTGATCATCAAGATTAGGCTCCATTTCCATAACAGAAATCACCCTGACTTAATGTCAACCATTATGCCCTACCCAGTATCAAAGAACATGCCCCTAACAGACAGCTCAAGAAGGCAGCATAGGGTCACAGCCACTGTCAAGTTCTGATGTGCCATAAAGTCCACAGTTCCTTCTTGAGATAGCATAATTCTGCTAGATGGACAAAACGATCCCTGATCACAACTATTTGAAACAAACAGACAGGCACACTTAAAATAATTCTGAAAATATCTTTACTGTGTAAATCTCTCATCTGCTAAATTGCCAGATTTGCATTCTTCTATCTCTGTTTACATTGTGTAACCTGGGTGTGGTTTGGGAAGGGGGGCAATTTAACAATGACAGCATATATAAAATGCATAAACCTAAGATGTATATACAAGTTAGTGTAATCTACTGTTGGAGGCTGGCTCTTTGGGCACTAGCCATAGCTGGAAACACACTATTATTATTATTATTATTATTATTATTATTATTATTATTATCCAAATGTGTAGAATGACTTCTCAATGGGAAGACATAATATTTCTTTAACAGTGGTAGGAAAGAACTGATTCCAAGTTGTCCTCTGAACTCCACACATATGCCATGACACCCAAAATTAAATTCTCAAGTGAATCCGTCCTCTCTGCCACCAGCAAGCTAGTCTTCCCTGTTTGAAAAGAATTTGGTTTTCTGAGCCCTATAGCATACAGTTCAGACCCTTTAACTGTGGCTATGAGTTAAGTAAAAGTATGTTAGTGGTCATTCTTCTTAATGTTGCCTCCAACATAGCTGTTCACTTTGTAAATATTGACCATAAATTAGACTCCATTCTCATAAAAAAAAAATAAGATTTAAGCTGGGCAGTGGTGGCGAATGCCTTTAATCCCAACACTCGGGAGGCAGAGGCATGTGGATCTCTATGAGTTCGAGACCAGCCTGGTCTACTGAACATGTACCAGGATAGGATATCATTAAGTTCCCTGTTTTTTTTTTTTTTTAATCAGGAAATGCCCAGTTCTACCAAGTGGGCATGGTGTCCCTGGGGAACAATGACTCAAAAAGAACAACAATGGTGTACTTAAGAAATAATTGTGGCAATGTCTTTGTTATATAAATTTCCCAACTGGCCCAAGTGGACAGACTTGCTGTTTCCTGTCTGTTTAAATTGCTCCAAGTGTAACCTGGGGCTAGGATTCAAAAGAGATTTAAGGTTAACAGTTTATGTGGAATGTATATGCCTAAGATCTATATAAACTGGTAAAATTTTCTGTTTGAGGCTGGTTCTCTTCCTTTATTAGTCAGAACAAGTCACACACTATTATTAAGGAGCTTTTCCTTTATTAATCTTTAAGTGTGAAGAGTAATTTCTCACTGGTAATGTATGTAAATTTTATTCTAAACAATAAAATAATTTACAATGTGAATGCTTCCTCTAGATATCAGGCCATGAAGGCACACTGATGTCACACTCTGACTCTAGCGATCAGAGATGTGGAGAGGTTGCAAGGTGAGCTGCAGAGGGAACTGGCACAGTAGAGCCAGGGCTAAACTGGAGAAATGACTGTGGAACAAGTCAACAAATGCCAAGATGCCAGTCCATGTGTCCCACACATCAGAGAGCCACGTGGGTTCTAGCTGAGGTAGTTGAGGAAGTCTAGACGAATACAGCTTAAAAACAGTGCGAAATTTTCCCTTTCAGATCTTTATTGTACTGGGTTTATTTTCATTTAATGCTTAATGACTCTGAGCTGGGTATTCTTTCTTCATTTTTTGTTTTCTTTAGACAGTGTCTTACTATGTCCCTGGCTGGCCTCTCTCATGGCAATTCACATGCCACCGCACACTGAGTACAGAGATGTATAAGTGTACACCACCATGTCCAGCTTTTGGTCATTACTTCTGTCCTTTCCAAAAAAATTGAAAATTGAGGTCTGCAGGGAAGAGGTCTCTTCCTTCTACTTGGAACATCCTTCCCTGCAGCCCCTTCCTTGGTTGGTATAAGCATTATTCATCTTTAAGTATAGTTCTATTCAAATGGTACTTCCTCTATAAGCTGTGAATTGGCATCTAGTAACTCTAGTAACAAAGGACTTCAAGAGGCACTGGGGATCAAACTGAATGAAATATCCATAGCTCTTGCTTATATAGTTTAGACACAACTGAAGAGAGGAGCATTAAACAATAGTCACATCAATCATTCACAGCTGGGGCATATATGACAAAGTCAAAGAACTTTACTGTTCCCATATCAGTCAACACATCTCTTCTCTGTAACATTTATATTATGCTTTGTGTTTGTTTTTATTCGGAAGGCATGGGGAAATCTTCAATAATTATTTATAGAATTCATAGTTAAATAATTAATTGGACTTGTATCAAAATACTAAATTAGTGAGCTAGGATATGATTTGAACTTGGAATCTCAAGCCCATACTTATTCTCTACCAAGCATTTCCAAGAGACAGCAATGAGTTTAACTCACTGCTGGCCTGCTCCACAAACACTGAAAAAAACAAACTGTCTTACATGTGTACTTCATAAACTATACTTGCCTATAACATAAAAATTCATGTACATACAGGTATCGTACAATATGTGTATTATTAACATAACAGACACATATATAGATGCTATTAATGGTTTCATATTCCTTCTTATCCTAATTACCATTTTAGGAACAAATCTTCCCTCCCAAGGGACTCATTTTTAAACTGGACTTGAAAACAGCCTGCTTTACAGAAGGAAATTAGCACCATCTAGAGGACAAAAGCCAGCAATACATGGGGATGGAAAGAAAACAGCTCCTGTAACAATGTAAACTGTAAGGAAATTCACTCTACAGAAGTTGTCTTTTTATTTTCTACTGGGCTCTGACAGACATTAGCTATTAAAACTACATTTGCTTTTACAAATCAAGTATTATTATCATTTAAATTTTATGCAAGGGGCTGGAGAAATGGCTCAGTGGTTAAGAACACTGGCAGCTCTTCCAGAGGACCCAGGTTCAATTTCCAGTAACCACATGGGAGCTCACAACTGTCTGTAACTCCAATTCTGGGGGAATCGACACCTTCACACAGCCATATATGCAGGCGAAGCACCAATGCTCATAAAGTAAAAATAAATAAATAAATCATAAAAAAATTATGCCAGGAATATCAAGTTTGGGAATCTGCTATGTTGGAGGGAACATTAATAAGCACAATCCATTAACACACTTTCCCTTAGCTCGCGGCCAGAGTTAAAGGGTCTGCACTGTATGCTGTAAGCCTCAGAGAGTCAAAGGCTTTTCAAACAGGGAAGACTAGCTTGCTGGCTTCACAGAGGACGGATTCACTTGAGAAGCTGACAGCATCAATGTCCACAGGGGAGGCTAAGATTTGAACTAACAAAGAAACTAAAAATGGTGGAGAACTGTCTCTGGGTTCAGGGACAGACATGATGTCTCTAAACTATGGCAGCTTTGTAAAATTGCTCATTTCTCATTAGAACCTTTTCATTCCATTAAAGATCTATCGAAACCCTATTTAGTTCTTAATCATATTCCCCTACAAAATGGTAAGCTCCCTAATGACCTTTAGCCTGAATGTGATCTTTAAATCGAAAAATAAATTTTAATTGAAAAACTGTGCATATGACTTCACTATTTTAATGACATAATTGCTGTTGGTCTAGAAAACTACAAACACAACATATTTTTTCTCTAAAAGAGAAATTTAATAAAATAATATTCTAATTATAAAACAAAGTTGTGATCATTGTGTCATAACTTGTAGCTGGTAAATAAGCAATGTGGAAAAAGTTGATCCTTTTTCACTGCATCTTTGCATAAAAAGATTAACTCATCTACTATCTTCTTCTTTGGATTTAAAGATCAAATCATCCTGCCTATCTGTAACAGGCACTGAGTTATAGATTAATCAAAAATTAGAATTTAGGACTAGGGGTCTTGTGTTGAATACCTAGCGCTGGGCCAGAAAATAAAGGAGGGGCTTACAGGTTTATATTAAAGACAAATATAAAATGACAAAACAAAGAGGATATATCTCACACAAATCAGCTGCTAATGTCTCAACTGTACTGTAACATTTTAGTATAGCCAAATGAATATATAGAAATCTTTGGTTGGTTGGTTTTTGTTGTTGTTGTTGTTTTTTATGTTGTTTTGGTTTGGATTTTTGGTTTTTTAAGATAGGGTTTCTTCTGTGTAGCTTTGGAGCCTGTCATGGAACTTGCTCTGTAGATCAGGCTGGCCTCGAACTCACAGAGATCCAACTGAGTGCTGAGTGTGTGCCACTATCTCAGAAAAATATATAAATCTTATGCAAGATAAATTCCCGTAATATTCTGAAGTACTGCAGTTATACCCCTGAACCCACTCGCAGGACCTTCACTTGTAATACCTAAAAATATTTCCCTTAAAAAAACTTCCCTTTAAAAGGCTTTATCATAAATCGCCTTTACTTGAATTATGAAGTCAATGAATCGCAATAAGGATGATCCTTTAGCACAGAACCCTGAACATACACAGCTATGACACATACCTGAATTAAGGAAGAACTGAGGAGAATCACCATGAATGCCCACTGTGCCTGGCCCCAAGGAGTTAGACAGGGTGTTCACAAAGGAAAACACTCCACTCATGATTCCAAAGCCCAAGCCAGAAACTAAAGAGGAAGAAAAACACCGTTAAGCCCTTTTCCTGTTATGCGTTCAGCTCAAATCTAATTTACGAGGACTGGGGAATACTACTTCACTGCAGGGAACAGGGCACACCTGCTGTTGCTGAAGCCTCAGCAAGCTGGAAGGCTCAGTGAGAAAGGAGGGGAGGAAAGGAAGCACAGGATGTCATAGTCAATTAACAAAGGAGAGGCGCAGAAGAAAGGAGAGGAAGAAGAAGGTAATGTGTTGAAGACCCTGGCTTTGGTTTACTGTAGTCAGACTATGAGGAAACTGTGATTCCAAGGTGGGATCTGGGCCAGACTGAGATAATTCTGAAGACCTAGATCCAGGAGAGAGAGAGAGAGAGAGAGAGAGAGAGAGCACATGCACTTGTGCCTGCATGAGTGTATGTGTAACACTTCTATTCTTTTCTTCCTGACACCACAGGCTCTAACTTACCATAGGCCAGCAGTCGCATTGAAGGTGCTGTCTCCTCCTCAGGGTTTATGCTTTTCAAACCCTCACTGGCTCTTCTGAAATAAAAACAAATTTTTTATTTTTATTTTTAAAGAGAAAGTCATTTATCAAGCAGGTCACAGTACCCTTCAAAACTAGATACTTAGTAAGGCTCTGATCAGGTTACGCTCTAGAATCTATCTTTGTGAAATCCAGCACATTATTGATAACTGAAGTTAAATGAAATTTCTGTCAACCTCATCTAGCTGATGTCCCCATAAAAGCAATTTTTAAAAATATTAGTAACAAGCCAATACAGATTAAATTCAATAGGAATAATGGCAATGTTTTAATTTCTGGGATCAATAAGTATTTATATCATTAGCCTGAGGAATCTACCACTCTGAATTTTCTTTTTCCCAAAGTCTTATGTCTTTATCTCCAATTCACTGGCATTCTGTTGTATATTTCATTATGGCTATATTCTCTGAACCTTCATTCTGCTTTCCACTCCAAAGAACCAAAATCATTCTCACCCTTCTAACAGCAGTTTTGCTTTTGTTTTTGTTTTTGGTGTAGTAACTAATCTCATGCCTCATATATGCTAAGAACATGATCTATCACTGAGTAACACCTGCAGCCTGCCCCCAACTTTTCCCATTCCTCTCAAGAGTGATTTATTAAAGTATCTGATATACCGAGGAGCCAACTTCTCACATTGATACTTAATCCTAAGGTCTTTGATTCTAAAATATTTTACATGTTTAATTCATATTTACAATTCAGGAGCATATAAAGCCTGATGTTTCTATATTATCCTGTATGAAATGCTACCTTTAGAATAGGCTATAAATACTTAAAGGAGAAACAAATGCTTCTCAGTAATAAGTCAATCCAGCATGATCACATCCATACTTCTGTTACAACCAGTTCACAAATATACCAAGAATCTGCCTCTGCCCCTTCCCCATTGCCATGCAGACATATTAGAAATGATAGATGTGATTTGTTATACTACTGTCTCTATTACTAGTCCCTGCTGTCTAGAAACTCTGCAACCATTTAAAAGCCAACTGAAAGGATATTAAAGTTAAATCAAACATACTGTACAGCATATATATTAAAATAACAAAAGAACCAAAATACTTTGGAAGAACCTGTCAGCGCTGAAACAAAAGGAGGTGGGATGAACTCCAAGAACAGACAAGTTAACCAGAACATACCTAGTTCCCAGAGATTGCATCAATTTAAACTTCAGGGAAGCCAGGTGTAGTGACTCATGTCTGCAATCCTAGCACTTAGGAGTCTGAGGTAGGAGAACTATTGTATGTCCAAGGCCAACCTGGGCTATACAATGAGACTCTACTCAAAGGGCCAATGTAAAATGAAATTTAAAATCTCAAGGAACACATAGTTATTACTGTTGATCATTCATTACATTGACACAGAATCACTGTACAAATGTAAATTTCACTGATTATATTTGATAATGTAGAATTCAACCAAAATAGCCATGTGAATAGTGAAAAGTGTCCTCTGCTTTTCTAGAATCAAAAGGAACAATTTGATTTCAGTGTTGCCCACTTGGAAGCACTGTTTGACAGGAAGGATGTAACCCAGGTATGTGACTGTCTTCATATTTCTCTGGCACACCAACCAACTAAATTGTATAACTTTCCATAATAAAAAAACTTACTTGTCAGAGGAATTCTTCTAAAGATTAGTTCAACATCATGAGTTATTCAACAGTAGTAATCTACAGCAACAAATGTACCCATGTAGTTTAATTGATACATTTGGGAGAATTTCTGTTTTGTGTAAGTTTTTTCTCTCTATTAAATACAGTGTGGTACTGCAATCAGGAATATATTAAGTTTCTAGGCATGGTGGCTCATTGTCAGAAATACCAGAAAGGTCAGAAGTTCAAGGTCATTCTCAACTATATTGAGTTGGAAGTCATGTGGGGTACATGAGCCCTCCACTTTTAAAATAACTTTTAAACTTTTAAAATAAAATAACAAATCAAAACCACAGAAAAATCCAAATGGCATATTTCTAGTTAGATCTCTTGATAATCTCACTCTCATCTGTACACTCAAAAAAGAGTAAATGAGTCAGGGGTAATAGAGTAGCCCTTTAATCCCAGCATTTAGGAGACAAAAGCAGTTGGATCTCTGTGAGCTCAAGGCTGGCCTGGCTTATATAGCAAGTTACAGGCCAGTCAGTGTTATGAGATGCTAGCTTATGAAAATAAATAGATAGATAGATAATAAAAAAATAATTTGTCAATAATTTTGAAAAATTTATATTGTAAAAATTGGAACTTTCAATTTTTGTTCTTGGGAATCTGGTAACAAATGCAACAGAATTTCTACTTCAGTAAACAGAAGCGACATCCTGCCTAGCACAGCCAACCATCTATTCTGTTCATCAGGAAATGAACTGGGAAACTCATCACATTTTGTACTTTCAACTGTCAGTGCTGCAACATTTCCTCCCACAAACTCCGTAACATAGAATGAGGAAGTTTACTCAACTTCTGAATTCAGGTAGTTAAGATATTTGGAGTTTTTCTTTTTGTTTATTTGTTTGTTTGGTTTTTGAGATAGTCTCATGCAACTGGCTGGCTTCAATATTATGGAGCTAAGATTACAGATGTATACAACATGCCCATTTTATTAGGTCCTGGGGATAGAACCCAAAGCTCATGTTTGATAGGTAACTATTCTCCAACTGAAGTTACACCTTGTAGCCCCTCATACATCACTTTAGAAATTTTACAAAACAAAGTGACAATTTAAAAAAAAAAACAACTGTAGCTAGGCTTTATTGGAGAGATGGCTCAGTAGTTAAAAGCATGGACTGCTCTTTCAGAGGACTTGGGATCAATTCCCAGCAACCACATGGCAGCTGTTTGCAAATCCAGTTTCAGATCATTCAACATCTCATACCAATGCATATTAAAAAAAACAAAAAAATGAAACAGGGATGTGGGGGTGTGGAGGGAATATAGGTTAGTGGGGGAGGAGCAAACAAACCTACAAGTAGGGGTTACCTTAACTTTTTTTCTTTTCCATAAATGTTAAGATTTTTCTAAATTTACCAAATATGTACTTGTATTATAATAAAACTGAATTAGTGATGTGGGATGTCCAACTGATTGCAAATTTCCCAAACATCCTTTAGGAAGCCAAAGAGGTTTCTCCGAACTTCTTAGCTTGATAAAATGCAAAATATCAGGATTCCTTCTTCACATAGTGCCATTCTCTTACTATTCTCATCCAAAAAGAGGACCTACTTTCAGTTTATAGTCTTTTGGAAACTCCAATAGTACCAAGAAAAGGTTGTTGCTTCATGTAAAAAATTGAAGACATGGGCATAAAAGAATAGCAGGTACCACATCTAAATCTTGGCACTCTGGTGAAGCCAGGTCTTGAAACAGAGGTTACTAAGCCTATGTCCAAAACTGTAATACTGTATTAGAAATTAAGATTTTTTTTCAAAATTAATACTATCATCTAATGTTGCAAAGGCAACAGGAGCCAGGGACAATGGCAACAGAAAACTTAGTATACTATGAGGCTGAGTTATTTAGAAAACATTGTCTGGTCAAAGATCACCCTGTAGTGTAAGCATTTGTGGAAAAACAGGCACCAGGAAGAGGGGGCCTGTCCACTGCCAAAGGCAGAAAAGGGCTTAGGAGACACAACTATGCCTTTGAAGAACTGAGGAGTGCGGAGACTTGACAGGAACCCTGTGACAATTACCATGGCACAGGCCAAAAGTACAACCATTTAGATTATCTTCACAGTAATATACAGCTACATTTTAGGTTGTAGACTGAGGGTTGGGGTATGAACTGTTTGCCTCTTGTGTGCAAGATCCTGGCCTCAATCTCTTGTACTTTAAATTAAAACAACAATAAATTCAATCTTAGGATGGTAGTAACTAACTTCTGTATACCAGAAACATTCAACGCAATTAGATATCAACACAATTAGATGTCCTCCCTGTAAAAATGTAAATGTTATTTTTTGTTTATTTGAAAGTTCTGGGCTCAAGGTCTTTTCATTTAAGTAGCTGGGGATACTGGGTGGTGGCCACCATGCTCAGCTTTAAATGTTACATTTTTCTCTCTCTTTGTTTTTTTCTTTCTTTTATTTTTTAAAAAACAATACTGGGTAATCAAAACCACCATGGCTCTGAGCATGCTGACATAGGCCCCACCAACTAAGCTCCATTCCCAGTCCTTAATATTACTTTCAATATTTACTTAATGCTCTTAGTTTTTCCCAGAGACTAGCAATTGTAATTTTAAACCTTTTCAAAAAAATGTTTTTAAAGTTACATGTAGTTGTTACTTATTTTCTCTGTGTGTTTGCAGGTGAGCACATTAATGCTAAATGTAAAGGTCAGAAGACAACCTGAGGGAGTCTTTTCTCTTCTTCTAGATGGACCCGGGGATTGAACTCAGGGCATCAGGCTTGGCGGCAAGCAACTTTATTCACTGAACTATCATCACGCCAGGAACCCAAAAGCTATCATTTTTTTGCTTCTAAGCAATAGCTTCCTGGTGTTGAATTTATAACAAAACTTACTCCATTATAAAAAAGAAATTTAATAAAAATGTTTTTTAGTCCAGAATAATAACATATTAGAAAATCAAATTACCAGAAAGGCTTCAAGGTGCTGTTCCTGAGGCTCACATTTTATCCATGAAATCCATGAAGAGTCTCAGTGACAGAAATGAAAACAGGACAGAACATTCGTCACTCCACTGAGCTTTACTCCACAAGCAAAGCTGATCTCATGACTTACTGAAATCACATTGGGTTCTGAATACAAGCTGTGTCTCAAATTAGTGGTTCCCTGTGAGGTCCTCATGGGTCTGACAGATGACCACATCTTATCCATAAAAGGGAGGTCATCCCTGGGCTTAAAAAAAATGTATTCTTTTCATTTTGCATACTTGAAACTATAGAAAATGTTTTAAAAATGAATCTTTTTTTCTCACTGATAGTCAAAACAATGAAAGGCATAATCTCCATAAGAATAATGTATTTCAGGTGGTAGGAGGGAAACAAGACGTCCACATGGGTAGGCTCTTGGTTGTTTCAGTAAGTATTTCTCGGAGCTATTTTTCTTCAAGCTACTTCTCATCTTATATTTGTCTATTCATTTCTTGCTGGTTTCCTCCCATCACAAGCTCCAGGAGGTCAGACCTTCCCAGGTCTCACTATACTCTGGCTGTCCTGGAACTCACTCTGTAGACCAGGCTGGCCTCCAACTCAGAGATCCTCCTGCCTCTGCCTTCTGAGTGCTGGAATTAAAGGTGTGCATCGACAGAACTTCTGTCTCTTTACCACCTTTGTAACTCCAGTCTCTACAAAGTGTCTGACACTGGGTGGATTCTCAAGAAACACTTTTTGGGAGGAAGGAGAAGCAAGAGGAAAAGAAAAGGGGAGGATATGAGGGCAGGTAGGTAGGCGAATCAGGTCATAAGTTTAAATACTCCATATTTTCAGGGTAGAAATGTGCCAATCAGCAAATCATAACTCCAGTCTAACTGGGAAAATAAAGCAAACATTTAACTTACTTTAACAGTCTATAATATGCAAGCCTGAACAGTTCTTGGATACAGACAGAGAGCAACACTCCGAAGATGAGCAGGTACTTCTGAATGGGTCCATCTCTGTTGTCAGTAATGACTCTCACTAGGTACCAAAAAACAGACGAAAGCAGAAGAGATACCAACCAGAAGAAAGCACTGGAATGGAGAAGAAAAAGACCACAAATTAGCAGAAGCATAAGACTGATAATGACTTTAAATCTGCTGGAGAAGAAACAGCTTGATTTTTTTTTTTTAAGTTGGGAAAAAAAAATCCTCGAAGTGGTGTTCTGGATCAGCAGTTGCTGATCAATGATCTATTTTCCTCCAAGTAAGAAAAACAGTTCAAGAGGAGCCAGAGTGCTCAACAAGAGCGTGCTCGGTGACCCTGTCATATGCACACTAAGACACTGTGTCACTGACGGGCGAAATGAAACTTGGCAGCTATTTTTTTCTAAGCGATGCTTTGCCTCTTTGGAGTGCCACAGAAATATACAATCCGTCACTCTTGGGATTTTCATATCCTCAAAATTCTCCAGAAACTATGGATTTAATGGTTAGATATCTGTAAAGCTAAGTGTCTTTTTCTGACAGAAAACAAAGACCTAAAACCTGCATTAAATAGCATGCGCCATGTAAAATTCAGAAACCGCAAACCAGTGCGCTGGTGTAGCTGTTTTCCAGGTCCGGTTTTTACAATCTCTTCTGCGGATTTTAATGACGACAGCAAGCTTTATAAGCCGTTGGATCAACCGACTCTATTGTTTTTAAATTACAATAGCGAAGGAGCACTATTCAAGAGCTCAGCCCAGTCAAAAAGAAGCTCAGAAAGGCGGGAGTCCCTGGCCTAGCTAGCTGGCCTGATGCCAAGTCCCAGAACCGGTCTCAGCAGGTGCAAAGACCGAGGCCACAACCACCAGCAGAGTTCGGTAGTTACTAAGCTCTCAGGAGGACGTGCCTTGTCGGGTGATGCTGCGTTTTCTCGGGCTTCCACCCTCGGCTGCACCCCAATCATCCATCACCCAAGGGTCTACAAGAAAAATCTGTGTCCAAACCCCTCACAGGCATTCTGACTCCGAGGATGGGGGTTGAGCAGGGGTGGGCTACTGATCCCCAGCTGACTTTAATGGCAGAGGATGAGAACGATCTTCGGTGCCACCGAGCACTGGGTGGAAAGAGACCCCTACGGAAAGGCCAAGGCTCCATACACGAATGCCTCTGTGTTCCCACACTTAGCCCACGGGAGCCCAGATGCGCAGGGCGCGCCTGCTCAGTCTGCCCTTCTCGAAGCCTCCCCTCCTCTCAGCCCCGGCAGTCCCTCAGGCCGGTGACAGACGGGGTGGTGACCCCGAGGTCATGGGAACTCGGGCGCTCAGGAGGGGGCCCGCTGCGACAAGGACTGGGGCTATCTCACCCGGCGATGAGGAAGATGACGCGCAAAGGGTCGGTGGCGATGGTGAAGACGTAGAGAGCGAGCGCGGGCCCGAAGGCGATGAAGGCGCAACCGAAGAACACGGCCGCGGTCATGACGATCGCATAAGCCAGTCCAGGGAGCCTGAGGGGACCGCGGAGCTTAGGGCGCTGTCTTAGCGGGATGCTGGGCGGGATCCGCCTGCCAGGTGCTCAGCGCTCCGTCAAAACAGGAGGCGGGGCCTCGAGGGGCTCTACATCAAGGCGGGGCCGAGGGCGGGGCGGAGCTCGGGAGGCGGGGCTTTGAAAAGCTCCACGAGGCAGAGCCGGGAGTGGGGCGGAGCTTGGGAGGCGGGGCCTCGAGCTGCTCCACAAGACCAAGCCGTGGGCGGGGCGGAACCCGGGAGGCGGGGCTTCAAGCTGCTCCTTAGTTTGTCGGGGGGGAGGGCGGAGCTATGGAGGCGGGGCCTCGAGATGCTCCACTACAAAGCCGAGTCGTGGGCGGGGCGAAGCTCGGGAGGCGGGGCTTAGAGCTGCTCCTTAGTTTGTCGGGGTGGAGAGGGCGGAGCTCTGGAGGCGGGGCCTCGAGATGCATCACTACAAGGCCGAGCCGTAAGGAGGCTGAACGTCCTCAGCTCTTGGTTGAAGAGGGGGGCCGAGGCGGAGCTCCGGAGGTAGTTCCGGGAGGTGCTCCAAAAGTGAACCAGGGGCTCAGGAGGCGATTTCCTGAGAGGCTCAGCGTGCAGTCAGAGCCTTTGCTGGGGCTTCGAGAGGCTTCATAAGCTGTTAGAATAGCGGTTCCTCGAAGAGATCTGCTCAGCTCAGAGGGACCGGCCTCGAGGGGCTTCGCATGCTATCAGAGCTATGGCACCGCCTGGAAGGGTGCAGTGTGCTGGCAGGCAAGGGCAGGGGCGCAGCCTCCCTGGACTCCAAGTGCTGTCAGATGCGGGGGGGGGGAGGGGGGGAGCTAGCCTTGAGCTGTGCTGGCCTCAGGGCACGCGGGGCTGAGGGCGGGAGCGGAGATGGGGAGGGTTTCTTCAAATTTTTCTGGAGCAAAGAAAGTTGCATTCGGGCTGAGCAGACCTTTTGGTGTGGGGAGATCCAGCGCCTGAACCTCCTAGGGGCGATGAGCTGCACCAAGCCTCAGACCTGGCAGCGCTCCAGATCCTTAATCCAAAGCGTGGCTCACTGGGGACTTACAGACGTGCTCAGAGTCCTCTTCCCCACACTGACCCTGGCGTCGGCAGGCAGTGAGGTGGCCTAGCAGGCTACTAGCCTACTTTTGTGCTGCAGGTCAACTGAAACAAACGACAGGACAGAGGCAAGTTTCCTTTTTTTAAAAGTACATTTTTCCATATGCATAATTGCAAGAACATCATGCTTCATCATATGTTTAAAAAAAAATCCAGACTGGCGTTACCGGTATGACCACGGTGATGGAATTGTTCCCGATGGAAAAGGGATGAAAATAGTGATGGATTGTTCTGACAAGCTGGTTTCCTTGCCACTAACTCCTTATTTTCAAAAAGTAAAATTGTTTTTGAAGGCATTCTCTAACTATGTCTGAATTCAAATTTCAGGACAAACAACCACAGCTGTGTTAAAGATTCTACAAAATTGATATTGACTAATTACAACTGCATGATTGTGGAGAGTTGTAATATTGTATGGAGCCAAATTATATGAGCTCTCTAGTCCATTTAATAGCTATCCATTGCCCACTTCTGTGTCTAAAGTCCTTGTGACTATCACATGACATTTTTTCCCATCATATTAACTACTAGTCTCCACCAACCCAAAAATTAAGCATGTCATCAGAGACCTGTAGCAGAGATTTCCCTGCTTTGCTGTGTATCTGAAAGGGACCTTGATTTATTGCTTTCATTTATTTTATAACTACAAAACCTTCATGTCCCCGTTTCCATGTTGAAACACAGTATTTGGGGCAATCCTCCTAGGCAAAGATGGCTCAAAATTGGCTCCAGAATAAACAGTTGTTTAAACCCTTTGAAACGAGAGCTGGGTTTTGCTTGGACATTCCTATAGCAACAGCAGCATTGCCTTGCTATGTACTCTAACACAAGCTCATTTCACTGGCTCATGTCTTTCCCTTTAAATGTAAACTTCCAGAGGGCAGAGACATTATCTCTCAGTGCCTAGAAGAAACTCACTAAACTACTTTTTCAAGGGATAAAATGATTTTAGAAATGAAATTTAGACGCATCTGAAATCTATTAATTTAATAATTTCTGAGAGGTTTGAAAATATTGTAGAGTCCCCTGGTCATTCATCTTTAAAATACAGCCTTATTCATGTTAAGTGAGAATAATATCTCATGAGTTACCTTGAGGATCAAACATGGCACACCTGAACATTCTTTAGTATCCACTGCCATAGTTTGAACATGATCTGTCCCCTTCAGGCACATGTGTTTGAACACTTGGTCCCCAACTGGTGGCACAGTTCACGAAGGCTGTGGAAGCTTTGGGAGGTAGAGCACTGATGGAGGAAGTGGTTCGATAGGGGTGGGCCCTGAGGTTTTGTAACCCAATCCCATTTCCTGTCCATGATCTGCTTAGTGACTATGGATGCAATGTGACTGGCCGCTTCCCCTCCTCAGCCATGTCTTCCCCACCCTGATGAAATCTAAGGCCCTCAACTGGCACCAAAACAAACCCTCCCTCCCTGGCACTGCTTGTTAAGGACTTTGTCACAGCCATGAGAAAAATAACTAACATATCCATCATAGATAGTTCTTAGAAACTATCAGCCAAAAGACAGACTGGTAGGGAAAGCTGGGGACTGACAGAGGCATTTTGCTTATCACTTAAGAAAATAGGTATTTATTTCTTAAACTGTCATCTTTGCCACCTTAAACAGTCACATGTACAACCCATTTATTCCACTGAATACTTTGTCTTTTTAATGACTTTATTATTATTATTATTTATTATTTTGAAACAGGGTCTTACTGTGTAGTTCTGGCTGGCCTAGAACTTACTATGTAGACTAAGCTGGCTTTGACTCATAAAGAGCCACCTGCCTCTACCTCCTTAGTGCTGGGATTAAAGGTATGTGCCACCACACTCAGCCTTATTTTTATTATTTTTAACTATGTGTAGGTGTGTGTGTTTGCCTATGGGTATGTGCATGTGAAGGTGGATATCCACGGAGGTCAGAGGTATCTGACCTCCTGGGACTGGAATTACAAATGGTTGTGAGCCACTTCTGGGTTCTAGGAACCACACATGGATCCTCTGGAAGAATACCAAGTACTCATAACAGCCAAGCCATTGCTCCAGCCTGTACCACTTCTTTTTAAAATTATCTCATCCTATTAAAACTGGTGTGCAGACAGAATGTTTTGCATTGACCTAGAATCAAAGTTATCAATGCAATTCGGCTACTTCAGTTCCAAGCAGAAATAGCTCCACAGAAGTGTAATATACTTGTCTTTAATATAAATTGAAGTTTCTCCTATACATATATTATTAAACTCTTGTTCTTTGAGATAAAGCCTCATTTCATAGTCCAGGTTGGCCTTGAACTTGCTGTGTAACCCAGCCTGGCTGCTCAAGTTTTCCTGGTGCTGGGATTATAGGCATGAATCACTTTGCCCTGCAATAAAACTTCCATTTGCCTTCTCTTTTGACAAACTCTCATGTTCAGACGGAAAGCTAATTCAGCATGTTCAGGTTTCCTTTGACTCTTGGGCAGATGGAGCTAGTACCATTCAATTATACCAACTATTATTTCTGTGTGTGTTGTTGTTGTAATTTCTTCCTTGGCTTCAAAATAAGATTCTTTCCCCCATGTTTTAATGATTTCATTACCACGATTTTAGCCAGTCCCTACGTACCCTTATTAAAGCTACTCATTTTTAGAAGCATTGCAAAGCCTGGATGGCGGTGCACGTCTGTAATCAGAGTGCTTGGGAGACAGGGAGAGGGAGACAGACCTTGTCTGGAGAGGGAGAGAAATGAGAGTGAAACTTTAAAATCATTTTAATTACAAGATTTTTTTACTCAGTGTGCGTTCATGTGTGCACACACTTGCCATGGCCTGCATACATGTGGAGGTCAGAACTCTCTGAGTCAGTTCTCTCCCTCCACTGTGTGGGGCTCAAATTCAGGTTGTCAGGCTTGGTTGGCAGCAAGCGTCTTTATCTGCTCAGCCATCGCACTGGCCCAAGAGCGAGCATTTTAAATTACTATCACCGCACTCTCTTCTGTGCCTTGTCCATTCTGATGACTTTTGAAGATTACTAAGTCTTTTAAATTTTCTTAAATACGTACTATGTGCCAGGTGTCTTACAGAACACTGATTCAAAACTAAAGGTTCAGTTCCTACTTCTTCAGGAGCGACAAGATTAGGGGCCAACTGGGGAGCTAGACTGGTGACAGTGCTACTTATTACCATGATGAGAAGAGAAAAAAAGTTTTCCCTCCTGGGTCATGTTTTTGTTTGTCTTTTACTCTTTACTTTTGGGGGGCCTGCCACCCAGCTCCCAAATAAATCCCATACATAGAGAGAGACCTACTACTACATATAAATGCCCAGCATTGTTTCTAGGCAGCTTTTCCTATCATTAATTATTCCATCTATCTTTTGCCTCTGGGCTTTTATCTTTCTGTTTCTGTATGTCTTTCTTTACTTCTTTCTTCGTGTCTGGCTGTGTAGCTAGGTGGTTGGCCCCTGGTGTCCTCCTCTCCTTGTTCTCTTACTCCTCATTTCCTTCCAGATTTCTCCTCCTATTTATTTTCTCTGCCTGCCAGCCCTGCCTATCCTTTCTCCTGAGTTGCTATTGGTCGTTCAGTTCTTTATTAGATCATCAAGTGTTCTAGACAGGTGAAGTATCAGCTTCACAGAGTTAACCAAATGTAACATAAAAGAATGCACACCATCTTTGCATCATTAGAACAAATATTCCACAGCATAAGCAAATGTAAAACATCTTAAAATAATATTCTACAACAAGGACATAAGAGGCTAGGGGTATAGATACATTTCAAAGATATATTAGTGGCCTGTTGCTGCTACACCAAATGTCCACAATGTTCTGGTCAATGCAGCACAAGCAGATACTCTTATAGATCTCGAGGTTGTAAGTACACAAAGTACCTTGGAGGATAAGACCAGGGTGTTGCAGGAGGCTGGCTCCTATAGGCAGCTTTGTGGTGGAGACACCTTTCCTGGTTTCAGAGGCTGCTTACACTCCTTGGTTCACAGGCCTACACCACATTACCTTTTCTTGC